CGTACGGATGGGCTGGATTTCCCGGGATGGGGCAGGAGAGGCGTACGGATGGGCTGGATTTCCCGAGATAGGGGCGTACGGATGGGCTGGATTTCCCGGGATAGGGGCGTAGGGATGGGCTGGATTTCCCGGAGGCCCCGGAGCCGCTCCCGGTGCGGGGGGGAATGGAAGAGAAGGGTTTGTGTGGTCTCCTGCCCGGCCAACTCCCTGGTGCGGGCGGTTCGGCGGTGCCTTTGCTTTGTCCAGTGTAAAACTTACTTTAAATCTTCTCCGTCAGAGTTTCTGTCGCCTGTTTTCCTCACGCTTCTTTCCTGCCTTGCAGTTTCTTCAGTCAGAAACTTCTCTGTGAACCGGGAGTGTTAGCAAGGCAGTAATAACGTGTGAGGGATGATGAACTCCTCCTGGTACCGGAGAAGTTGTGTTAACGGTGTTGTCTAGTCCTGTAATGTGTAGAATGTTGTTAGTGGCTCCTGGAAAATAAAATAAAATAGGGGTTTTACTTCATGTGGGGGTGTGTTGTTTTGTTTTTTTTTTAAATTTCCTCAGTCTGCCCAGTTAGAGCTGTTCTACCATATTCTGTTATTTCACCCCCACATACTTCGCTGGTCTAATGTGGCAGAGCACTCCTGTGGAATATCCTCYGAGCCTCCCTTCTGGTGTCTGCTCAACTATTTCAATAGTGCAGAAACTTTTCTCTTAGCTGAGGAAACCCTTTCCTAGCTGAGAGGGTAAGTCATGCCCTGGATCACTGTTCAGTGCGCAGCCCTATGTTTTAAAAAAATACTGCAAGGAAGTGCATCGGTACTGGTTTGGTTTTGCTCACATATATATGTAAAAAAGGGAATGTTGTGTGTTCAAACTTTATGTACTTTGCTCCATCTGTATTGTCTTTCTTAAAGAAAGATTAGTCTATTGATTAATTTTAAATGAATGCACTTATGATGCAAAATTGGCTAGTTTTGTTTTGCAGCTTAATTTTGCTTTCCTAGCAAACATCAGGATAACCTGTTCAACTCCAGCTGTTAAAGTAGTGAGAAAATTGAAACATTGTACCCATGTTGTATGCGTGCATTTTGCTAAATAGTAACTTGCTTTCTCATTTCATATAATGTTTTTCTAGCCTAATCTCCTGCCATAAAACTGATAAACTCTCAGTTATCAAATGCCACATAAAAACAGTTTCATATCAAATCCTGGTTTAGGATTTGATATAAATCTGATATAAATGCTGGTTGATAATCTCACTATGATCCCCAAAGCTAACTGTGGGAATCATTTAGTAAATTCTCAGCTTAAATTTTCAATGGAAGTGTCACATTAAGAGTAAACCATATATATATATCTTGCATTAAATTTGGAAAAAAAATCACCCCCCTGGTGTTCCAGCTGCTCCTCAGATACCAGCGGGGCTGGGGCAGCTGGGTTTGCCTTCTGAGCCATGGCAATTCCATGACACCAGACTGGAAYAAGATGATCTTTGGAGATCCTGCCAACCCAGCCCACTCTGATTCTGTGTTGGTGGTGAAGAGCCTGTGAGCAGAATTGTGTGTGAGCACAGGAAAGATGTGCCACAGCCATGAGCACGTTCAGCTGGGACATGCCAATATAGCACTAAGAGTAAAATCACGAACATGGGCAGGTTTCCCAAATTCCCCGAGAATGCACCCGGTGGAACCGCGTGTTGGAGTCTTACCCAGTAGGTGTCCCTGTGGGGAGCAGATAGGAACAGCYCTCTGACAGTGCCAGGATACAGAGATGGCATCTCCTCTGACCTCCCTCCCCACTAAAGCTGTATTTATATTGTTCTCGGTGAGGGAGGGGAGAAGGGGAAGTCATGGCTGACATAATTTCCTGTTTAGGTGGAATTTGCATTTTAGTCATGAGCATATATGGGGGTTATTGGCACAAAGCTGTGCCACGGTTTGGGTCATTCCTTTGGCTTAGTTCCCGTTACCTGCATTGTTCCTGCAGCACCTGTGTGCTGCTCCATCCTTTGTTTCATTTCTGCATTGATTTCAGCAGGGCGTGACCACCTGGCTCCCTGCTGTCCCTCCTTTGTTCCCTCCTCCCGGAGCAGCACACCGAGCTCCCGCAGGGATCCTGCTCCCAAGGGTGCAGCCAGCTTGTCCCTGCCAATGCACACAGTCCTCACTCAGCTTTGTTTCAGTGTTCTCCCCAGTGAAGGCAGCCCTAAATGAAAAACAAAACCAGAACAACAACATTTTCTTTGCAGTCACGCATGCAGCTGATTCTGCATCAAACCATTCCCACTCCCTGAGCAGCAGAATGGAGCAGGACTGAAATGAGGGRCTTTTTGGTGTCGTTGTAACACAGTGACAGTGGGGGCTTTTAGATGAGGCATGGAAATGGGACTTGGCCCACTGGAAGCATTTCAAGTTCCRTTCCAATTTCCCCGAGCTGTAGCTCCAGTAATAAATCCCAATCCAGTTCAGGAGATGATACTGTTTATTCATTAYGGCTTTGTCTTCTAAACACATAAATATTACTGTATACCCATTGACAAATAAATATTGGCAGTGATTGGTACAGTTCAGCATGTTACTGGGTGTTGTAGTATTTATTTGTGTGTTAGACTATTTCAATACCATATGTGAAACGTTATAAATACACTCATGATGCTCTGCCTGCCGGGTTGTTCTGGCACAGATGGGGATATCAGTAACATCTTGAAACAAGGAATTCTATAGGCTGTTGACTGTTTTGTCAGTATCAGCACATGCTACTTACAGGAAGAAAAATGACCCAATTCTGCCTTCTGCAGATTTAAGATGAAATAATGTTTTCTGCCAGTGTTGGAGAGTGTTAAGAAAATTCTGAGCATCAAAGGTTAGAATATGTCAAAATGAGAGCTCGCTTCCAGACCTCAGATCCTGCAATCAGTATTTCTCAAGGGGTACCAGTCTGTTTGGTTCTGCTGGGAATGCAGTGCTCCCAGTTTTTTTGTGTTTGAGCAGAAGAAATTAACCTGGAACACAGAGAGAGCACGGAGAGAGTATGTGCCTTTTGCAGCTGTGCAGCTGCTCAGGTGAGCAAACAGAGCAAACAGAGCTCTGAGATCCCAAAGTTTGCAGGGTAGTGTGGATGTCCTCTATGACATTACTGTTTGTCCTTCAGATTTAGAGGCAATATTTTCCTAATGATCTCTTTTTGTTATGGTCTTTCAATGGCTTACTCATATCAGAATTAAAGGACATTATTTGTGATTGATAAAGCAGACACTTTTCTTCCCCCCAGCTTTATATCCAGGATCCAGGAGATTTTCTTTCCATCCTGCAGCATGAGATGAACAAACAACTTCTGTGAGAATCCTAGAGTCACAGAATATCYCGAGCTGGAAGGGACACACAAGGATCCAGCCCAACTCCTGACCCTGTACAGGACATCCCAATAATCCACGTATTCAGACACGTGTCTGAAAACACTGGAACTCTGTTAGGCTTGGGGCTGTCMCCACTGCTCTGAGGGAGCCTGACCACCCTCTGGGTGAAGAGCCTTTTCCTAATATCCAGGCTAAACCTCCCTGACACAGCTTCYTGCTGTTCCCTCTGGTCTTTYACACTGTTTTCYTGAGGTGTTCTGGTGGCTGTKCTGTCACAGGCAGTGCCAGCCGTGTGCTGCTGGGCACATGGTGTAGTAATGGGATAAAATCCCGTTAGAAGCCCCAAACCCCTTTGTGCAYCCTCTAAAACCTCTTTAGCCCCACCGAAACTCCTCCTAATGTACCCCATACCATCCTAGAAACCCCCAATGCCTCCTCAAACCAGMTCAGCACCCCTGAACCCCCTTTTAGTGTGCTTTGGTATCCAAAAGCCACTCCCAGCACCTCCTAAAATTTCATCAGCACCTACAAGTCCATCCCAGCACCCTGTAAAATYCCATCAGCATCCCCAAACCCATCTCAGCACCCCTAAAACCCCGTTATCACCACCAACCCTTTTCCAGCACTCTCTAAAATCTCTCCAGCACCACCAAAACTCCTCGTTTGCACCGTCCAAAGCACCCCAGCGGATGTGGTCGGGCCGGGGTGCGGAGCGCGGCGCAGCCCCGCGCCGTGACTCGACTGACAGCCGGGAGCATGAAAGCTCCAGAGAAAAGGAGCAGCGCGGATAAACGGAGGCAGTGATTGTKTGTAAAAGCTCTATATTCTCACAAAACACAGCAAAGCTCCGAGTGCTCAGAGAGGTACAGTCTCTCCCTGAGCCTCGCCCCGCCCGGGCCGCCGTGAGGGCGAGGGGGCGTGGCCTCCCCCGGCCCCGCCCTTCGGGGGGGCGCGGCACGTCGTTCCCATGGCAACGCGTCCGGCGTCGCCCCCTGTAGGCGGCGCGGCGGCGGCGGCGCAGGCATTCGCGGCGGGCAGCCCGGGGCGCGCCGGCGGGGTCCTGCGGCGGGCGGCGGCGGCCGGAGCGGCGGCGGCCGGGCGAAGATGGCGGACGTGCTGAGCGTGCTGCGGCAGTACAACACGCAGAAGAAGGAGATCGTGGTCAAGGGCGACGAGGTGATCTTCGGAGAGTTCTCCTGGCCCAAGAATGTCAAGACCAACTATGTCATCTGGGGGTAAGCGACGCGGCCGGGGGAAGCGGCGGGCGGGGGGAGAAGTTGCCCCGAAGTTGCGCCCGGGCAGCGGGGACGGGGGTCCCGCCGTGCTTGGTGCTCTCACCGCCCTGCGGGGAGCGAGGCGCACCGGGGCGAGCGGGCTGGTGCCGCCTCCGCAGGGCCCCGSGGCCGCGGCGCACTGCCCGGGTGTCCCGTGGGCGATTCCTGTCCCCCGGCAGCCCGGCCGGGCAGGGAGCTCTCCCCGCTCCCTTCGGGAACGTTCCCATCCCTGCCCTGGGCCGGGAGAGCCGCGGGGCCGGGGCCGGGCCGTTCCTCGGCTCTCCCCGCTCCCGTCCGTGCCGCCCGGCGGAGCCGCGTCCTGCAGACTCATGCGATGAGATGGCAGCAGGCAGMTGCTCCCAAGTTTTTCTGCGTGTTTGGTGAAAAAGGCATTATTTTGTGGTTTGGACAACGCTCTCAGGCAGACGGTGGGATTCTTGCGGTATCGTGAGYGGGGCCAGGAGTTGCAGTCGGTGATCCTGAYGGGTCCCTTCTCACCCRGTATATTCTGTGATTCTGCTGCCTTGGCTTGGCGGGGCTGCTTCTCTTGTGGAGCTTTGATGCAGGAGGACAAAGCCACCGAGGTCCAGAGCGACACTCCCTCGGATGAGCTGTGCAGGTGCTCTGCCCCCACCTGAGGCCTCTTCCTGGGCAGGACCTAATGCTGCYAGTTTCCTAGTTGGTGTTATCGTAATAAACCACTAATGAGAGTGTTTATGTGTCTTAAATGATTGTACTGGATAAAATGCTTATTTTTAGAAAACTTACAGAAAATGAGAGTTTGTACCTGTTGAGTTTCTGGGTATAGTATGGATTGCTTGCATTGCCAGGGAGTTCTTTGTTTGCCTTTCCTCAGAATTTAGCAGTTGCGTGCTTTTTAACGTCCTAATTAGAAGGTCCCAATGAATCTKTTTCAAACCTAAGAGGAAAAAATTGCTTCTTGTTAAAGCTCAGGTAATGATCAAAGAGGGCATGCTATCCTRTGAAGTTTTGTGGAAAAGTAGAAGAAGCTGCACATTTCTCAAAAAACCCTGAAGTTATAGTTCAGTCTGACCAGGAATTTTATTTTTTTTTTTGTTTTGTTCTCATAATTATGATATGAGTATTACTTTTCTTAGATTGAGAGAGRGAAAGGAAATAAACCAATTTGTTTATTTTCAGCTGTAGGGGGACCTTTTGTASCTGATTTTACTTTGCACTCTATTTATAACTAGAAATGTGTTTTTTCACTACCTGTTTCAAGCTTTCAGAACCTAATTTTGGAGTTATTTGTGTTTTCTGGCTGAGTTGGGGATAGTGGTAGCTAGCCTGAAGAGGAAGAAAAATATTTGGATAAGCAGTCAAAAGTTTTACTTGCGTTTTTGCTGACCTGTGTATAGACATTGCTCATCTGTGGTGGTTTCCTTGCTACAAGTTGCCTTTCCCTAGCAGAAACAACTCGTGGTTAAGTAGACAAACAAGTTTCATTCCCTTCTGTAGGGAAGAAGAAACTGATATGTCAGCCCAGCTCCATTTCTCAGGAGAGCTTGAATTAGACCCAGAAATAGTTACCAAAAGCTAAAAATGCAGCAGTTGGAGAGCAGACTTTAGTATGTACAGCCAGGCAGATTTATCTTCTGGTCAAGAAGGACGTGTGTGTGAGCAGAGGATTCTGAGCATCTTATCAGAGCTGTGAGTGCTCACCTCCTGGGGTAGAATTTGAGTGGTTTTATTCCCTGGTTTGTTTGGGGTGAGTTAGCAGACATTGGTTTAGACCCGTGGCTTCTGAACTTTTGATAGGTTCAGCTGCTCTCAGTTCACAGCGTTTCTTGTCAACCACCGTGGCGTTTTGCATGTCTCAGCTTTAAATTGAAGACACTRTAAAAATGAGACCAGTTCTGCAAGCCATGCTCAGTAGCTTTAACACCACAGTTGAGGARCTGCTAATTTAGGTAATTGCTACACTCATGAGGGACATTTTCRAAAACTTTCAAGATTCAAAACCTTTTTTATTCAGGTCACTTGACAGGACCCAAATTACACTTGCACTGAGCAGCCATCAGTGGCATAGTCTTTCACAGAGCAAACCTTGAGTTCTGTTTTAGATGCCCACAGCTCGGTTGCTGTAATTGCATCTCCAGCCTGGAGACAGTAATGCCAGGCTGAAGAGCAGCAGTGGCATTTGTCCCTGCTAGAATTAGAAGTAGTCCCATGAGACATTTAGCTCTGGCTCCTCGAGCAGCTCAGCTGGCAGAAGTCAGCAGTGCTGCCCTGCGTTGCCTTCTCTCTCTGCTAGTAAAGTGGCAGCTAAACAGGGAGTTGGTCTGAGGAACAAAGCCAAGTTAAAAGTAACCTGCAGGAAAAAAAACGTGGAGGGGAAAGTAACTTTAAGCCAGGTTAGTTTCCAGATAATAATCGTAGGAATACTCCTGGTGGCATGTGAAGAAGGCTAGGTGGTCTGAGATTGAGTGGTTTGTGTGTTTTGACCTATGGCCCCTGAGGAKTGATTATTGAATCTGTTTCAAAACCAAAGGAAGGAATCAATTTACCAGAGAAACTTATTGCTTTGTTTGCCCAGCCGAGGGGCTTGGCTGTGCAGCTGGGTTTTTAAACAGCGAGCAGCTGCTCCTGGGTATTGTAATTTCTGTGATACTGGTACTGTCATTTTATGTCTTGTGTTTTTAAAGATTTCTGCTTGGCTTTGAGGGAGAGGCATGGGMCCTTAGTACCTCTGTAAAACTTCAGGCTTTGAAAACAGGAAAGAGGAAATAAGCCAGTTAAAACTGAATAAATTCCAGGTGCCCACAGGTGGAAGGTAAATGGATGACAAGGAAGTAAATTTCTGGTGTTAAAAACAAGCAGGTGAAACTACTTCTCTTGTATTATATAAACATTTTCTCTGTTTTTACACTGGAGTTTATTTTGTAAGAGATGCTACTCTTATTTATATTTACTGCTTTAAGTGTTGTTATTGAGTCTGTTGAGGTCGGCCTCCTAAGACTTAAATTTTTTCCTAAGTAATTGATGCCATAACTAAATATGGGAAATAAGAGAATTAATCTATTTTTCTGCTTTGAATGTTTGTAAATTGAAAGAGGCAAGCTGTTTTTAGTTCTCTGTTTATTCAGCGGGAGCACACACTGATGTTGAAATGTCAGTTTAGGCTTAGATTTTCTCCTTGTGTGCAACTGCTTGTCCATCTGATGATTTCCCATTAATGTGCAATATCTTGTCCTCCTAATAAAGCACCCTCTTAGAGTCATAACGAGCACGAGGAATTCATAAGTTTGTGATGAAGTACCAGCTGTGCCCTGCTGAGCTTTGGCAGTGCCTGTGGCTTTGTAATACTATGTTTTTTCAATTAATAGTTAGTGGTTCAGTTTGTTTTTATATATTMTCATTTATTGGTAAATATTGTAAAAACTTGAGTAGATGACCAGCTGGACTTTTCTGTCTTTCTCAGTGCATATGGCACACTTTGAAGAAATATTTATTCTGAGCTAAGACAATCTGAAGTGTATGTTTTAAAATGAAGTGACAACTGTATCATGTGACRTGGTGTCTTTGCTTCAGAGCCAAGCCTGTGTGGAGGAAGCTTTTGTTTCTGCCAGGGCTCCCAGTATGTTTAGATACCACCTTATCACAGATCGTTACTGTTTCACTGCTTACTCAAACAATTCCTTGCTGAGGAATCCAGCTCTGGTGGCTGSCTGTGGTTGTGTAGCCAAGTTTTGGCTTCTTAGCAGTTGGAAGGTCCTGTATCCACTCCCTTTCCTCTGMAGCAACAAAAAGCACAGGCACCCTCCACCCCATGCAGACCAGGTTTTCCGAAGGAAGAAACAGTGGTAGAGACACTCTTTATTCTTCAGTTCTGCTGGTGTCTTCAATCCCTTTTTTYCTGCATGTTTTTCATAAATTGTTTTTCTCAGGCACTGTTTTGAAGGTGAGGTTTTGAACTCTACTGCTGATAATGAGCTCTGAATGGATTATTGGGCACTCTTAGCTAATTTCAGGAAAGTAATGGCAAGCAAAGCTGGAGTGGCATTAAATGCACAGTATTGAGAAAACAGACACTCCTGTTGTTTAGCAGATTTGTGTGGCTCTTTCAGGCTCCATAAAGTTGTGACTGAGTATTTTTGATTTCCTCTCCCTTCCCCAGTGAGGTTTGCACTTCTGTCGTGTGTGTTTTGGTGCTGATGATGACCCACGAGTAAAACCACAGTACTTGGAGGGAAAACTTTTTTTAATGAAAGGGTTTCTTCCTGAAATCTCTAGTTTGTTGGAAATTCTCTGCTGGTCTTAAATTTTAGCTTTGGGCTGGTTTTCTGGTGCGTTGTTTTCCTCAGGCTTTAAGGTGAGCCAGCTGGCTGGGGACAGGGACTGGGCAATGTGGAGGAGCCGGGGTCTGGCAGGTCCCCAGTGTGGSTGGGCAGTGGAATTGCTGCTCTTGCTGCTTTCCTGGTCCTATTGACTGCCAGGTCTGTTTCTCAGAGCACTTGGAGTGGTCAGGGAGTAGGTTTTGTTTTGAAACCTGGACAGGCATTGCTTCCCCTACAAAATCTTGTAGGAACAGCGTAACGGGTGAACGTGTGAGGGGAGAATTATGTTCAATGTACATGAAGTCAAGGTGAAGCCAGGGGTTTATTTGGCCTTGTTTGGTGGTTTTTTTTTTTTTTTTTGTGAATAGTTGCACAGAACAAGTTCCTTTTTAGAGTTAAAAGGTGTATCTTTGAAGCAAGCTGTTTGAAAGCTGCGATTGAACCTGATGCTGTTGTGTTGCTCTGATGTGGTCTGACTTCAGTATGGGAGCTCATTGTGATTTTGTGTCCTTTGGGGTTTTGCTGGTGTTGTGTGCAATTAGTTTCTAGTCACTCCTTATTTTCATCTTTTGGCATAGTTTTGAACCCTTTGCTCCCTAGACTTCGTGGAATTTCTWTATCCCAAGTTCTTACTGTGCTGTCTCTAGTGCTGAAAATTCTGGCYTCTTGTACRTGGAGATCATGTAATACTTGCTTCCATTTGCAGTTCAGTTCTGTTTCTCTGGCTGTCTCACATAAAATAGACAGTTCCTTTGATAATCAGAATAAATAGTGTGAGTGTTGAAGAATGTGTACTTAAGGTTCCCCAAATCCTGCTTGTTTATTTTTCAACCCATCCAGCTGTTATTTTGGATTATTTTGGATTATTTTGGACAGTTTTTATGATTCATTCAAAAGAGACTGCAAGAACACTTCTCCCTCACCTGTATTTTTAGCACAATTTAGAGTTTGGCAGTAGCCTAATAATAATAATATTAACTGCTTGCTTTTTAAACTGTCATCTGGAAAGAAAAGAGGCCTTTTCAAAAAGAGGGTGTGCTTGAGACAGAGATGGGAGGTTAAATATTCCAATCTTTTCCTGTGTTACAGGACAGGGAAGGAGGGCCAGCCCAGGGARTACTACACTTTGGATTCCATCTTGTTCCTGCTCAATAATGTGCACCTTTCCCATCCTGTGTATGTCCGTCGTGCTGCGGTAAGTGGGCCATACAAAATGTGATTTTGGTCTTGTGATAATTAACATGTGAGTAGCTATTTTCAGGGAATGATAGTAGCACTTGTGTGTAGGAATTTGGTTGGGGAAAGGGAGAATGGTACACAGCCAAGTGTGTGAGTGTGTGTGAGTGTTTAAAAGCAATCACCTCTACAGAAGGATCACATCACAGTCCCTGTCAAGGTGGARTATTGTTCTTGACAATTCCTAACATTATCCCTTCAAACCACCAGGTTCCATTTGCAGCAAGATTCTGTCARCCAATTATTAACAATAATTTCTCTTGATATTCTGTGGATCCCGCTGTTTCTAGCACTAACAATKTAAAGAGTACATTTGTCCATTTGTTGTGTGGAGTGATTCCAATCTAGATGATCCTTTAGTGCCTGAGATGGCAGGGATCTACAGAATGGAGAAAAGTGCAGYGRAATAGCTTTGGAGTGGACTCAGAAGTATGCAATCCAATTAAAGAAATTACTGGTTAAGCCCTACAGATAAAGGTACAGGAATATTTAATGAAGTATTTTGATTTCTATTTCACTGCTTCCTACGAGGCCACTGTTCAAATTTCCTTGTGCTACATGGTTACCTGACACGGCAGTGCTGTGTTGGCGCGACACCTTTGAGATACTTGATTTCTATGTATCAACACAGACTCCTGGCAGAGATGTGTGTCTGTACTGAAAGCTAGTCCTTAATCTTATTTACASCTTTGAAGGGAAGGAGGGAAAAAGCTGCCTTCTCTTTCAGTTTTATAGCAGACACAATGTTTAATTTTGTGTAGCTCAACATTCTCTAGGATGTGGTTGTGCTTTGTGTTACGTAGTTAAACTTCCTTGTATGACCAGACACGTGGTAATGTCTCTGTGTGAATGAGTAATTTTCAGKAAAAGTGAAAAATCTGCATCTAGAGGCTCTGTGAGGGAAGAACAGTTTAATGTCACAGCTGCTGTCTTTTCAGACTGAAAACATTCCTGTGGTAAGAAGACCAGATAGGAAAGACTTGCTTGCSTACCTAAATGGAGAAACATGTGAGTGATGTGCTCTTTACTGCTTCATATTCATGGCATAAGTGAGGGCTGGGAGGGGAAGATTGGGTAACAATAGTCAGTTTGCATCTTAACTGAATATGCTGAAATTTTTCATTGTGTTTTTTAAAATTTTGTTCTGAAATGATTTGGTTTTATGATGCTTAGGTAGGAGGTGCATTCCTACAGGCATGTTCAGAAGTGAGCAATATTATTACTATTATTATTAACCTACTTTGGTTAACAATTATCTGTTAGAATGCTTAGCATGTGTATTTTTTCCTTCTCTAGACTATGGGAATCCTTCAATGATACATTGATCTTGAATGCAAGAAATGTGTGGGATGAAACCTTCAGTTTAATAGAATATATCAAATTACTGCTTTGTCAGTCTGGCACATTTGCCTGGTATTTCATCATCTTGAATCTTTTGTTAATAATAGTTAGAAAAAAKAGGTTTCTCTGAGAAAAAGATAAATATCACCTTTGCTCTGTTTCGTAGGTGGTCTTAAAATTTTAAGTATCCTGTAATATGAGATAATTTCTGTAATATGATGAATAAAATCACTTTATATTTTAAAGGGATCTCAAGGTTGTCTTTAAAAAAAAAAAAAAAAAGACAAACTGGTAGATCTTGATTCCAGGTTCTGATGATCATTGTGACTATCCTCTCTCTTATGTGATATGTAGAGATGATAGAATCTCTGACTAATTTGTTTTGGAAGAGACCACCTGGCCTAATGATCCTGGCCAAATGACCCTGAGCAACCTGATTTAACTTTTACATTCCGTCAGGTTCTGAATATCTCCATTCCACTGCTCCCAGTGTTTGACCACCTTTGCTGCCTCTAACTAGTTAGAGTTTCCATGGTTGCAGTTCATCTGTTGTCCTTTTATTTGTACTCAAATACTGTTGTAAATATTTTCTGTTTGATTACAGCAACCTCATCAAGCATAGACAGAAGTGCTCCACTTGAAATTGGTCTTCAACGATCCACTCAAGGTACAATTTTACTAAAAATAACTTTGAGGTTTATTTTATAAAAATTTACTATAATCTTGCATTTTTAATGTCATCTTTTTCTTGTAGTTAAAAGAGCAGCAGATGAAATACTAGCAGAAGCAAAGAAACCAAGAATAGAGGTAATGACAGTAACTGCCATCAGTGCAAACTGGGGGTGGTGATAAATTCCAGTGTTTATCTGTTTTTGTAGGAATTCCGTTGGGTTACCTGTCCTTTGGTGCACACATTGTTTCTGTTAGCATGAATGGGAACTGGAAGGGGAAGGTGTTAGAATTTAGAATTGAAGAATTGTGGTTTTAGAGAGGAAATTTCCAATAGCTCTACACTTAATGCTAGTGCACAKCTCAGAAATAATTGGAAATAAAGATAGTCCATGCAAAAGTGGAGAAAGTACTTCTGACTAGCTTTAATTCCAGTTGTATCATATTTGAGAAGAGAAAGCACAAGAGCTGAAGTGTGAGTGTTCCTTGCAGGATGAAGAGTGCGTGCGCCTCGACAAGGAGCGCTTGGCAGCTCGGCTGGAGGGACACAAAGAGGGCATCGTGCAAACGGAGCAGATCAGGTGGGATTGCTATTGCTTATGGACAATGCCTGATTGCAGCATGGATAACAATTCTTGTGCTGTTCAAAGCAGCCAGTTTTACTTCAGTCCAGCAGTTCTCAGTGGGAGTTTTCCTCCTTTTGGTACTTTAATATTTGAGGAGTTAGACCTTGAAACAGTTATGACAGCGCAGATTTGAGGCATTTGTGAAATCCATAATTAGACCTAACCACATGAAAAATACATATTTTAAACGACTTCTTCCTGTCTCTTATATAGGTGAACTTAAATGGAAACCACAGAGAAAGAAAGAAAGAATCTGATTGTGGCATGATTAGAAAGCATAAAACATAAAAAAGTACATGTGGTTTTGTATAAACTAATAATTTGGATGCTACTTTGAGTATATCACAACTTTGCAATGCTGCAGTGAGGGTTCCTAACTGTTGATTGAATTACTCTGTATTCTCTACTTAYCAATTTTTTAATGCTGAATATAGAAGACTGCCCCTTAAAAAAAGTRCAAATATTTACAGGCAGTGAGTTTGAACTCCATGCTTCACTCTGCTGCGAACCAAGTAACACAAAGAAGTTCCCTTTCCAATAACTTTGTTATAAAGGAGAATACTTCACAACCAGTACTTGCATATTTTTTTAATGTATTCTCAAAAAATACCATATAATAGTGAATTTGGTGTGGACAGTTAGGATTGTGCAATTCAGTCTTTATCCTTTTTTTCTGCAGCTCACCTGCAAAACAGTAGGGCTCACTGACAGCCCAATTCTGTGTTTGCAGTTAAAACAAACAGACATAGATGTTGCACTCTTGGACTCAAGGGAGCTGTCTCAAACTCAGGTTCATGTGGACAGGGTTACTGTCATCTGTTTTTAGCTGGCCTGTGTGGTCTGAGAAAGTACCACATCTTCCCAGTGAGCAAGTCCATATACCTGCACCTCTGCCAAGGTTTGGGTTAGATTAGTGCTTTGAAAGCCTCAGAGCCACCATGGGTTGGTTGACTGGACACAAAATTGTAACCCATTAACCATAACAGGGAGCTGAAATTCAGGCGGTGTTATAAATGAAGGTGTCAGTCCTGATGCTTTCTATTTGCATTCTTTACTTTGKTTTGCTGTAGTTGGGATTTTGGGTTGGTCTTTGTTCTAGTACTGTGAGTCTTTTGTCACAAATTGTATTCTCATGCCCAAAACAGCAATGCCAAGCCTGTATAATCGTTCAGTGTGTAAATAAGGTGACTATTTTGTAATTTATAGCATAGCCATAAACTTTAAGCAGGATGAAGTTACTCATTTACAGATTCTTTCAGAAGGCTTGTGTGTGCGATTATTCAGACTCTACTGTTATTTTTGCTCATTTAGGTCCTTGTCTGAAGCTATGTCAGTGGAAAAAATTGCTGCTATCAAAGCCAAAATCATGGCAAAGAAAAGATCCACTATCAAAACTGATCTGGATGATGACATAACTGCTCTTAAACAGAGAAGTTTTGTTGATGCTGAAGTGGATGTCACTAGAGATATTGTCAGCAGGGAGAGAGTATGGAGGACAAGAACCACAATCTTACAAAGCACAGGCAAGGTAATGCTCTGGATACCAAGCTGGGTTTTATGATCCCTGTGRCAAACTGCATTTTTATTTTCTGTATCTAATTTGTTAATCAGAGATGACAGGGGATTGTGCTCAGTGTTCCATGTAAAGGTGGGCTTGCAGGGCTGTTGGCACAGTGACAGAAGAGTTTGTCCTTATCACATTRCAGTAAATCTAAATTGTATCTCCAAGTACCTGCTTCAGCCGTTTAAAAGATACTGAGTAATCACTTAATTCCTCTTAATCAAAGCTGGCTTGAGGCCTGCAACAGGGAGGGCTCTGTGAGAGYACCTGTGGGCTGGAAACAGATCAAAGTGGGGAGTAACTGATACAGAGCAACACAGGTGTATTGACAGTCCAACGGCTGCTAAACCATGGAAAACATGAAAGAAGTAAGGAGGGAAAATGCTGAAATGAACAAAACCACAAAGTTTTCATGAAGAGGCTTTTGTATGTTTTTATCCCTTTATGCTGCTTTTGRCTGCACTTGGTTGTGTGCCATTCAGAGCATGGGTGCAAGCACAGCTGACAGTTTGCTCTCTTTGGATAGTTAGGTTTGCTTTATTGCAGAGCTACTTGGCACTTAATTTCTCAAAGAAGCAGTAAGTCAATTTCTAAAATATTGCAAGGGTCTGTTTTCCTGAGGTTATTGTCAAATTGCATCCCTTGCCTTCACTASTCCTTTTAAGTGTTGTAACAGGAAAATAACGTTTAGAAGTAAATGAGGTCTCAGTCTTCATTTGTCTTCTTTTTAACTGTATTTTACATAGCTCTCAATTTCCCAGTATTGTCTCAGGGCATTAGTGGTAGAATAATTTAGTTCATAAATTATGGGATAATTACTGAGTATGTGGCACATCCCCCTGTGCCACCTACAGAGTGAATGTTGCTTCTTTGAATCTGGGAGATTTGTAGCAGACTCACTGCTTGAGCAGTTGATAAAAGCTTTGATGTTTTAGTCATGGGAAAGGTTTGTACTGAAGGAATCTGTGTAGCTCTTCTTCCTTTTGTGAATCATTCATGTCATTCCTAGCTCTGCTTCTCTTCCAAGTGCAATTGCAAAGACAGTAGGGAAAGAGATGAATGTATTGTARTATACTTGTAGTAACAATGAGATGAGGTAGTGATTTTAAGCAAAACATGACCCAGTGAGAAAGGCCAAAARCAAGAGATGAAGTTTGTTCTTGGACTCTAGCATGCAGTTACTGTGAGCAGCCTGATGAGTGTAATGGGATAACAGCAAATCTTCTATTTCGGTTTGTGCAGGGTTGCAGGAACATTCTTGATAGCTTGGACAGAAATCATCGAATGTTAATGTTTATATTTTCCAACAAGTAACAGTGAGAGTAAGTAGATGGGGAAACATCACATCTTAATGAGGGCTGTGATTTATTCCAGAACAGCTCAGGTTTTTGATTTGTACATTGGTTGGGAGGGTTTTTTGGTGTGTGTTTGGGGGGTTTTCCTTGGTGATTTTTTGTTCCATTTTTCCCYCTTCTCTGTTTCAAGAACCTTTGTTAACACTTTCTCAAAAGCTGTGAAGAAACTCGGATATGTTGTCTCAGGCAAATAATTTYTTCCCTGCTCCCCTGTTCCTTTAAAGAATTTTGATCAGGAAAGCATGATACTGCTCTGCAAATGCTGTTTTGACTCTTCTGTATGATACTGTAGGATATTATCAGGCTGATGTGCCTGATACTTCTTTTTGTTCTAAATTTTCACTGTCTGCTTGGTATGGGTTTATCTGCACTCTCTTKAACCCTCCTAGAGTATTTAAAACCAAAATTGACTTCAGCAGTGCATGCCTTTTTAATACCTAAATTCCTCTGGAACTCCTGGGTGARTGGTAACAGTGAGCACTCCTAAATGTAAATTTTGTTGCTTCTTTCCAAATTTTGTTGCTTCTTTTCCAAAACTTACTTCAGTTTGAGGCTGCTTCTCAAGCTCTTTTCCACAGAKAAACACTCCTGTGTGAGAGTTCCCAGTGTTCTCTGCAGTAAACTAAGATGCAGAGACAGCTTAAGATGCAAAAGGGAAACACTAAGAAGATCAGTCACAGTACAAAGAAAATCTGTTGACCTTTTCAACTTACTAGCAGGTTTCCTCTGGTTTTGATGTGTTGAAAGAAAATATTGATTCCTCCAGCAGTATGCTCTTCCAAATTGYACATAGGTGGCAATAATATCAACTGTATTTCTGAAGCATTTACTGTTTCTCCTTTTGGACACACTTCCCAGTTCTGAAGTTTGCTATATAGAGCTCTGCCAGGATTTTTTTAAATCTCCAGTGATGTGGTTTTYTTTTTTAACCTCTTAAAAAGTGCTCATCATAGTTGCATTCTGCCCTTTTAGCTGCTGCTTTCATTGCTAGCATCTTCATTGTCACATAGCTCCCCTTGCTGAAATTATACTGATAGATTTTTTCCTTGCTGTGAGGTTTTTTTTGTTCATGAGAATGTGTAAATTGAGTGCATTGATGCTCCTGTTGCAGGAGGTACTTCAGCAGCTGTGTCATTCCCAGTTTATTTTACTCTTAAGATTTCTATAATGCATCACAGGTCCTTTAYCTGTCTGACCTCCACTTATGATCAGATGTTGCATTGATCCCTGGGTGTCTTTTTACTGTTTTCTGTGAGGTTCCTRTTGTTTGTAAAATCAGCCATTTCACTTCACCTGCCTTCTTTCGGTTTTAAGATTTCTAGAATTTGCATTAATCTGCTTGCTTATTTTTATGTTTTGCATAAAACCTTTTGTTGGGTTATTTTTCCATAGCTTTCTGAATGATTATTATGCGGTTCTACCTCTTTTGGAAATTCAGTGTTTGGTTTTATTGCTAGTAAATGAGTCATCCTGCTCCRTCTGTTTTAAATATCTCTTGGCTTTCCTCAAGTCTGTAGTGTAATCTTCTAGATTTTTATGAATAATGTGGCATTTTTTTATGTGATCATTATTCAGAGCCAAATTGCATCTGTTTAGTATAAGGATTTTTTTTTCCTTCTCATAGTAACTTAATTTTAGAACTATTAGACAGAATATATATTGTTTAAAGGAATTTAATTTCAAGAAGAGTTTTGAATCCATGCATAGACTATTTACCATCATAAGTGTTTGAAATGTTTGAAACAACAGGTTTCAGGTGTGTACAAGTTTTTAGATAAATATGTGGCTGTCTTGTAAAACAAACAGTTGAACACCTAGAAAATAACTGTGTTTATAGTAAAATTGATTCTTCCTTTCACATCCTTCCTCTAGCTTTCCTTCCTAAAAATGCTTTGGTTTTTATAATCTCCTGTTGCAGGTTACCACAATCTTTTCTGAAGGAAAAGCCTTATTTCATCTTTACTGTAGATGTATCTGGCACTTGAATTTTTCCTGTGGAAACAAATTAGACTAAGCAGGAGTTTCAGCATTCACAGGTGTATTTGGAGAATGTGTTTTTGTCTGTGACTGCTGATGTACTTGATTTATATTTAGTTATTTATTTTTAATCTCCCAGATTGCTCAGAACTAGTTCTTAGCTAAGCAGCAAGGTAACTGGGTGGGCTGTGTTTAACATTATCTACTTGGCTGTACAGAAATCTTCAAGCTGGAATCTTGGAAATGCACTAATACTGGSCTTGTCAATTTGTAACTTCTGGAAATGAACCAGTGTTCTGATATGAACACTGAGCTCTGAACATTTCAGATTTCAGCCTTTTCTTTGTAGAGTGTGGTGGGTTGACCTTGGCTGGGTGGATGACAGGTGCTCACCAAGCAGGATGGCTGGGAGCAAATAAGATGAATAAAAATGTGTGCGTCAAGATGAAGGCAGTTGAATAAAAGCCAAGGATGTGTGGGGAAGCACAGGAAGACAATGTATTCTCTCCTTCCCATCAGCAGGAGATCTGCCACTTCCTGGGGAGCAGGGCTTGGGCACACTTAGCAGTTGCTCCAGAAGACAGATATTGTATCCAGAAATGCCCCTCCTGCTGCTTTCTCTTAGCTTGCCCTGCTGAGCAGATGTTGTGTGATGGGAATAGCCTGCAGTCAGCTGTCCTGGCTGTCTGTCCTCCTCCCAAGGTCCTGCCCAGCCCCAGCACTGCTGAGGAGGGAATGCTGGGGTCAGCCTTGGGGCAGTGGCCAAARCACTGGCCTGTTACCAGCATCTTTCTGGCTGCCACTGCACAGTGCAGCACTGGGAGAGAATTAACTCCAAATCAGCCAGACCCAKGACATGGCAGTATGGTACAGAATATTGCTGAAACTTTACATTTCAGCCAGCGTTCTTCAGTTGTATTTTCTCACAGTTGCAAGTGTATTAGAATTACCTTTTCTCAAGTGAACTCTAACCCTAGGTACAAAGAAATAACATAATCCAGCCTGTCAAAGATATGGGAAGTCTTAAAGGTTGTAGCACATAACCTTTCTAAATCTCTTCAGCTGAGAAGTTGAGCAGTGGCTACACRCTCCTGATGTAGGTGCATCGTCCAGGCAGACACATTTACTCATCTGTGAGCAGTGGCCCAGGTACTACTTTGGTGCATTTCTCAGCTTTCAGCATATCTGTAAATACTTTTCCCATTGAGCCTTGTGCAAGCCTTTTGCAGACGCTGCCAGGCACTGGGAGTCTGGAGTGACCTGTATGGCATGGTAACATTACTGCCTGCCTGGAGACAGTCCAGGGAAAAGCACTGAAGTRGAACCATGTAAGTTGGACAGGAGAAATTGGAATTTGAGCTAAACATGCTTCTAATTGAGTTAGGTGTGTATAAAATCTAAAAACAATGGGATGTGGACTCTTTCTGCAGGTATCTGTTTATAATGGAAAAACTATGAAGAGCTTGTATGGGATCAGTTACATGAAGCTGTGTCTGTTTTCATAACCTTTACATCATGAAATTGTATCTTTTTGTCAGTGTAACATTGTTCCTTTAAGTGTGTAGTACTCGCTAGGTCARGGTTGAAACGTTGAAGCAATGCTCTGGGTTGTTTTTTTTTTGCTGTTGATTCAGT